TCCTGATAGCTGACACGCCTGTTGTAAGGACAAGTGGTTTCCTTTGGGATTTTATTTATAAAGGATTAATAAGAAGGACCTGTGATGGAATGGCGACCTGTCCATGGTGTACCCTGCCTCTCGCTCATTGACTGCTGGAGGTGGGCACCAGCACCCCTCGCAACCCCACTCGGGAAAAGCGTGTCAGATAATGGATGGATGGATAATAAGAAGGCCCTGATTGAACGTGATTTAAATCTAACCTCAAGTAAATGAAAAAAAAAAAACTAAAGTAGGAAAGCTGTGTGAAAAGAAGTAAGTACACCCCATTATTTAATTGCTTGTAGAAACACCCTTTGAACCAATTATTTGAAATATTTATTTCTTTATGACTTTATTCCTTTCTCACGTCTTCTTAGAGAATTATTTTTTATTTTTTATGCACCATTCATTAGTTGCAAGTAAAAACGCTTTTATTTCAAAATGGATTCTCCTTTACATTGTTTAGTTATCTTTTACAAGAACCTGCCTGACCTTTAATCAGAAACAAATAGTTTCAGATGTCATTTTTACTAAATTTAAGAATAAGTTTAAGCTTAACTAAAATAAATTATAAAAGTAAACTAAAAACACAAAAATTAAACATTCAATTATCATTTGCCTAAAGGGAAATATAAATGTATGAAGGCTTGCCGATTAAGCTCTGGTTAGCCAGAATCTGTTTGAAACTTTAACACTTTCAATTTACTTATTTAATGTGTTTTCAATTGTTCTTTTTATTTTGGATAAAGCTCTTGAAATTAGATCTGAATTTTCTGTTCTATTGCTATCAAGCACCGTGACCCATAATGCTGAATATCCCAGTGTTTCTCTGTCCCAGTCCTCCTGATTTAAATTGTTTTCTGATTACCGAGCCTCTGCTGAACGTCATGTCACGCTGGAGAAAGAATTCAGTAATTGACATCAGGTGTCCTCAAGTTGGACAACAACCAAAACATACAGGACACAGTATGACGGAAAGCCTCTGATAAGATTCATGCTTGAAAAATCCCTTCCACATCTGCCAGATTAATGTTAACACAGCTGATACTCAGAGAGTGTTAGCTGCACACCAAGATGCATCTAGTTGAATAAGCAGACAGCTCTGTATTCTACCTACACTCTGCTGCTCCCTTCTTTTCCTCAAATGCCTCCTTGTATGTTGAAAAGATTTAAGACCGAAAAAGCATCTGAAGTAGTTTTATGTTTATTGTGCCTTTCAAATTAGTCAGGCATATAAATGTTCTTTTTATGCAGTTAAAACCAGGTAAAACCATTTTTTTTTCCAAAAATACCAGACAATTAGCAGCTAGAGCTAATTCTCTAAGGTGTTTGCACATTGTGTTCAAAAACATCTGCGTGATTAAAAACTATCAGTGCTTTGTGCTTTTATGGGAATATTCAGACTTTAATCGGCATTAGCTGGCTGCTAATATTCCCTTTAAATCATACAGTTTTTTTTTTACACATTAAGTTTATCTGAATTGAAATTAATTAGATTTTTATTTTAATTTGAAAAGGTTTGTGAGCTTTTACTAATTTCTAGATTTTTTATTTCTTTGGACGCAGCACAGTGAAAGAGTTGGAGGTTGGAATAGGAGTTATTTTTGGTTGACTGAGTTTATAGGTTTTATGCGAGTGATGGCAGGCTCATCCTGCTGTGTGTCTGTGTGTTGTATATACAGCAGAGTGGGGGAGAACGGGCTGAGGCAGGGTGTTTGTTGTGAAAGCACACTTTATCTCTTATATCAGTCTGTTTATAGGTAAGCACCTGCAGGCCGCCCCTCGCCGGTCCTTTCCCCTGCTCACATTCAATGACAAACTACAAGTCAACAGGGAAATGCAAGGGTTAAAAACAGCCCCGTTCTACCCTTAGCATTTTAACACCACTGTGTAACCTAATTCTTCTGACATGATCGCTGTTGCTTTCGCCAGATGTAACTGAGGCAGTTTAGGTTAAGTGGGCACCCTCAGGCAAGGGCATGAGTGAATACAGGAGGACAGCAGAGAGCTTTAGCTCTTATTGTTGAGTCTTGATGTTCAAATAAAAACGATCTGCTCTCTGTGTGAAAATAGTTCAGACCATGTTGTGACACAGGAATACATCCACGTCAGAAATGTATGAAGCTCTGAAAGCTAGGTATTTATGTGTGAATATTTAATTTAGACCAAAGTAGAGATTGTGTTACTTTTTTTTTTTCAGTAAGTGTGCTAATTAAATTTAAACCCAGGGGGAAACATCTATTTTAGGACAAATGATGAGTACCGCAATTAAGGGAGGAGTAATACTCCTTTAACAAGTTCATTATTTAGACATAATGAAAATGAGCTTTTACTAGATAAGTTCGACTCTTTTCCATATGATGTTTGCCAACATTTCCCAAAATTAGAACCCAAGTGAATCCAAAAACTAACAAAATAAAAATTAAGAAATATCTCTTCTATGTCATGGTCTTGGTTCTGTTGTTCTTTACTTTGCTCCTTGTTTTCTAGTTTTATTGGTTTAATTCCAGTTTTGTTGTCATTTCTAGATTTATGTTAGTTCTCATGTTTTTCTGTTGTCCTCTATTGCCCTCTTGTGTGTGTGTGTTCCTTTCCCCTTGGCTCCCTCATTGTCTGCTCTCACACCTGCTCCTTGTCTGCTCGTTAGCCCTCCCTTTGTCTCTCTCTTCTATATACTGTATGCCCTCCCTCTGCTCTCACTCTTTGTTGGTTCCTTGTCTTTGCTGTGCTCCCATGCTGTTGTCCACCTACCTCATCTCTCCCTGGCTCCTCATGTGTTGTTTCCCCAGATGTCTCCATAGTTCTGGTTTGCTTTATATTTTTCATGTTTGATTTTGGATTTTTGGATTCCCGCCTCTGTTACCTCTGTTTATTTCATTAAAGCTGCAAGTAATCTCCTCAGCCTCTGCCTCTGCATTTGGGTCCTTAAACCACCACTGAAACCTGACATTCTATACAATAATATTCTCAAAGTCACATTCAGTTAGCTGTTGCCCAGGTCACTCTAATTTCTGATTAAATGTATCATTTAATACCAAATAGTAAAAGGTCATCTATATGTCAAAGCTGAGATTGCATTGAATCAATGAAGTTTTGCAACGTTAGTGAGCCTGTGACAATAGAGGAGAGAAAAAAAAAGCTATCCTTCAGTAGAACCAGGCTCAAACAGAGACCAGATTTTGCTGTATGGAAGTGAAACCACCATCAGTTGCTCTGTCCTTGGCAGGCAACCGAAGAACTGGGGAAGGGGTACTTTCTATAGCAGAAAAAAAAAGCAAAAAGAAGGAACAAAAATTAGACAAATCCGTCAAAAGTGGCAAAAATACATAAAGTTATAGGGAAGGATCATCTCTGTCACAGACGATAGGACGCGGCTGATCAAGGATCCACTGTGAGTGCCTCCTTGATCAGTTGGGACTCTGTAGAAAGAAAAAAAGAACATATAAAAGTTAATGGCTGTAATATCTCAGTCAGTGGTTCTAAGGAATATAATCTATTAACAAAGAAAAACTGAACCATTAGTACTTTCTACAGTAAAGTTAACTCCGAGAAGACTGTAAATAAATAAAAGTAAACATGAGAGCACATGACCAGAAGTACCTTTTATAGCAAAGAAAACATGCTTAGAATTTAGTTATGGTGGTTTTTTGTCTATTAATTACAAAGTTACTGTGAAAAGCAGAGAGTACACTCAAAGTAACAAATCTAAAAAAGTGAAGTTCTAAGATTTTAGCTCTATCTTTGTATGAAACACAAATGAACAACAGCAAGAACATCTGTAAGAAGCAAGCATTTCAATTTCAGTTAAATCCTCGAGTGCATGAGACTGTTGTCATCTGTCATCTATTCTGTATGTAGAAAGTTGCTGTATTTGTTTTACCTAAATTTAATAACTTTGAATAAAACCTTCATAAAGTGGAGATGGGAACTGAGTTTAAATTGCTAGAAAAATATCCGTCCAATTTTATAGAGTAGAACCGACTATAGAGGCTGATTTAATGAAAACATGTTTTATTCTATTGTGATTAAACTTTGATAGCTTCTTTAATGTTTAAACTTATCAATCAAATAATATCAAATGATAAACTGATAAAAATGAAGATAAACTATGCAACCACACCCTGAAGAAAACAATAAGACTAGCCAAACATTTTTGAATGTGATCTAGTCTTTTTGTGTTTTGAGGGTTAGGTCATGGATTAGGCCAGGCATCCCCAAACTCGGTCCTCGAGGGCCGCTGTCCTGCAGGTTTTAGAGGTTTCCCTGCTTTAGCACAGCTGATTATGATGGTTGCATTAGAGCAAAAGCCTGTTAATCAACTATCAATTAAAATCAGCTGTGCTGGAGCAGAGAAACATCTAAAACCTGCAGGACAGCGGCCCTCGAGGACCGAGTTTGGGGATGCCTGGATTAGGCAAAGGCTCGAACTCTTATAACGTATTAAATCAAGTTTATTTAACAGATAAGTTTTTGACGAAGAAGAATGTTGTCTAATTTAGGGGTTTTTAACCAAACCGCTGTCATAACGTGGTGCACAACTGATGTAAAACAAAAGGTGAAGATGAGATGAAATATTGAGAAATGTTCCCAGAATTAGCTTATTTCCTTGTCTAAAAAGTGCAAACATGTTATAAATATATTTTCTGTTGAGACAAAAAATCTGAACAGTTTTCCTCAAAGGTTTTTACCTCCTTTAATTTTTTTTCTGTGTATATTTTCATATCCCAGTTTGATACAATGAAGGTTTTCTTATCATAAAACAGCTGATGAGCTTATTTTTATTTTGTTGTCAACTTGTGACATTTTATGTGTTGTTTTTTTTCATGTTTTTGTCTTGAGCGACTGTCACCTTGGTTATATGTATTAATTTGAATTGATCACTGTGTTCTAGAAGGACCTTTTTCAACTTGTGTCAATAAATATTCTGAACCAGATGGTAATCCTCTTCAGCTCTAACCATTGCTTTTCTGTCTCCGCAGGTTCACCCAGCAGTATGTCTACCCTCAGGCGTTCCTCCAACCAAGCCTCCTGCTGCAGTCTCACCTGAGCCCCACAGCGACAGCTCTCACCTCCCCTTACCTGGAGTACAGCTCCGCCTACAGCCCCTACGCCCCATCAGGACTGGAGCATTACCCTTATGTCCCCTCCCCATCACCCGCCACAGGCTACCTCAGCTATAGCTTCTCTCCGGCTACACCATCTCCTGCTCTGACTGCTCCTCCAACCCCTCCAGCTGCCATTCATCCTCCTCTAGCCACACTCGGCACTGTGTCGGCCACACCGCCGACCTTCCTCCACTACCCCCTCCACCAGCCCGACCGAATGCAGTGAGCAGACCTGAGCGGGTTGCTCAAACTGCAGGCGTGACGTATCAAAACACGGGGACTGCTGATTGGAGACATAGTGAGGAGTAGACTGGATGGAGGAGTCATTGAAAAAAGGGCTTTTTGAGAGATGTCTTTTTTTCTTGTTTTTATAAACCTTGGTGTTGCAGGGGATGATCACGATCGCCCTGCATTGTCGTCAGCACAAACTGTGAATGTTTTCCAAAACTGCTACAATCCAGTTGAGATCAGTAAATTTTAAGATGCTTCTTTGTTGGTAGTCAGGCTGCAGGAAGAAACATAAAGTTCTTCTTCTACATCTTTGTGCCATGTTGCTGCAGCTGCATTTTCTTCAAAGGTACTGCACTGAATACTGGATTTCAATCTGTCTGAGAACCAGGTTCTGTGGGAAACACAGACGCAGTTCCCTCTGGTTCTAGGTTACCTTCCTGTCTGTGGCAGAGGATTTCTCTCTGTATCCAGTAATCTCATAGGTTCCTGTTATCTACTGCTAGGGTCTTCACACAATATGCAATTATGCTAAGAATATGTCAGCTTAAGGTAGGCAACACTGGCATTTGATGTTGTTGATGTTCTTTTCCTCGAGCAGTAGTTAGAGCACAACTCTGTCAGGCTTTAAAATCATTTAACCCTGTTTTTCTAGCTTCTTTTTAGCCTTTTTTACAAGTGACTAAATTTTCTTTCCTCTTTAGTCACCCTTGTCAATACAATTAAGTTTATTGCCCTCAACACCCACTCACAGTCTCTAGTAAATTTAAGTAATAAATCATACAATTACTCCATTTTTTATTTTAGTGTAATAAATCCGATAAAAGGAAATAATGGTAGTGCCAGACCTGTTGGAACCTCTAAATGTTATTTTTATATCACTTTTAAATAGGTTTATGTCTCCAAGTTTTAATCAATTATCTGTTGCTTACTGTTTCCATGTGGTTTAAATATGACACACTGACTTGTTAAGTCATTTTATGGCACCAAGAGTATAAACAAAATTATGATTTTGTGGAAAAGCAGCTAAAACCCACTGTTAGGCATGGTGGAGGATCTGTCATGGCAAGGGTGTGTTTCTTTTCAAAAAGCCTTTGAAAGAATTACACTTTTTTTAAGTACCAAGGCCTTTTAAATGAAAACCGGGTGGAGCACACAAGAAAACAGAAACATGGGTCATCATGAGCAGATAAGACTGAAATTCCAGCTCCTACTACGGCTTTCCAAGTTCCACAACCTAAATCCTGCAGAAAACCGTTTGGCTGAACAGAGAAGACTACACTGGGTGGATGCAGAGAACTGGATGATCTAAAGCAGATGTCTCAAACTACAATCATCAAGAGAGCTTGGGTCCAAACCCGTCCAAATTGTTCTGTTAATGACATAACTATTTGTTCAGTTTTCATTAAAGACACTGGTCTCCAGTGGCTGGATCCTAGGACCGTGAGATTGTCAGCAATCAAGTTACGATTATAGCCGGTGGTATCGGCAGTTTCAATACATCTGGCACTAATTTAGACAATAAAATCTGAAATTTGTGTCTTTACTTAGTAAATACGCTTTGAGAAGTTTTCATTTTAAGTTTATGTAGGTTGAAATTGCATTAAAGATACTTTCTTTTTTAATAACCCTTTGCCTTTAAACGTGGAGGCCACTGGAAATGTGTTTAATTTAAGTGTTTGTACCTTTAATGTGTGAATGAGATTCAGTTCAGTGCAGTATGCTACCACTTGTACCATTGTCCTGTGTTCTTTCGCAGCATCATATTGACAGGTACATTAGAGATGATCATGGAGTCTCCTGGTGTTGCAGAAGTACCACCAGTCCTAGTGGTCTGAACCAAGCCATATGTTAGATTTTAAACAAATATGCAAAATAAATGACTGAATGTTTTAAAGGGGTGGCTCTCGCTGTCTTCTTAGTCACTGAATGTTTTTATCCAAATGCGTTTCAGGAGCCTGAAGTTAGTGTGATGTTTCACGTGATGGTGTGGGAATATAGGCCTGTAGGTTATGAATAAGTGCAAATAAACTTGTAAATAAACCTGTTATCAGGTTAATAAGTTGATATATAATTTTTTTTTAAATGGGAAGCCATGGTTTGGGAGGAGGTTAAAGATTTCTGGGTCCACCACTGGATGGAGAGCTCAAATGAACCCATCTTAGGCTTGGACACTTCCCTTTTTTAAAGGTCAGTTTTCCTTTTTGAAAGATTTGATTTTCTTCTGATTTACCCATTACTGCTTTGATAAGTTCCAGTTTCTCTTCTTTTAAATAATCAGTTTAATCAGATGTTCTCTCTATATGGTTTAAACACTAAAACCCTCCATGTAACGTGACTAGATCAGCTTTAGATTGAATTGCTGCATGACTTTTAGCAAGTAAATATTTTCTATAAAATCAGTTTCCTCTCATCAGAATTCTCAACAGTATAGGATAAACTTGTTTTATTCCTTTTTTTTTATTATTTCCCAGCAAAGGCTTTTTCACCCTTTTTCTTTGCTCTATGCTAAAGTTTAAAACAAATTTTTCTGCCGTACCACCAAAGCTTCCTGTTGTACATTTAAAAAAAAGAAGCATACTATAATTTCCTTTTATATCAGGAAAATTCCATAAGAATTGTAAAAAATGATCCAATTTGTTCTGTCTGGCCATTACTTGTCTGATAATTTATTTGTTAAAATTGCTTAGAAACATTGTATTTTAAAGCACTGAAATTTTGTTTGAGTGACAATATTCTCAAATTTGCAAGGACAGAATGAAACCGCCTCAATCACTGCTGCTTTGTCAGGTAAGGTTTGCCTTGCTGTATTTCAACAACAAAGTTTTGATTTAAAGTCATACAAACCCACCCCTATTCCCTAACATTTATTTTATATTTAATCGTATTGATTTATGAGTATTTTATCATAGTATACCATAAAAACCGACAGCTTATGCATTTTGTCTAGGGCTTTGTGTTAGTGCCCCCTTCTGGTCATTTCTTTTTACTGCACCTTACCTAATATGGATGCCTTCATTTTTGAAAGGCACACAACTTAATTGCAGAAACCTGAGCAAAGTGGAATATATGTTGCATGAAAAGGTACATGGTCAGTGTTGGATGGTTTAATGTTGAACTTCCAAAAGTTAAACTTTTTAGAACCACGTTTTGCCTGAATTACTGAAAATATTTGTGGGACTCATCTCTTTTCTTCCACATGTGGTGAAAATAAATTGTCTATTGTTCTTTGAAAACTAGTACAAGTCAGATGGAGAAGTTTTATGAACATTCATGTCTTACTAAAAATTGTCTGCCTAGGTTTCAGTCAGGATTTTGACGTCTCATACAGCGATATGATTGGATCTAACCCTTTTGATTTCTTTTAGGGCCTCTAACAGGTGTTATTACTGAATTATACCATATGTGTACCTGTATCTTCATTTCAAACAATGTCCTGCTTCACTACTCCTGTAGGTAGAAAGGTATCCCACAGCATGATTCTGCCACCACCATGATTCACTGTGGGGATCATATGATAAAGGGGGCATGTACAGTTTTAGTTCTCTCTCTCTTTATTGTTTTGTTTTATGTAGAACAACCAGCTTTACCTTGTTGTCTTTTGAATTTACTGATTCTATTTGGGAGGTATCAGGGTAAAGGGGGCTGAATGCAATGTAAAACATAATCTAAAACCTTTTATATTTTTATTTGTTTAAAATAAAAGTAACTGCTTTCATTTTACAATTATGTAGTATTTTTCGTGTGTAAATCTTTCACATAATATCCCAATAAAATACATTCAAGGTCTTTGGTTTTGTAAAGAAATGTAAAAAGGAAAAAAAAAAAATCTGTTCATATTATTCAATTGAAAAAGGCACTTTGAATCCATATAAGCCTCAGGTTAAAAAAAAAGAGCCAACATTTGTATAGTTTTGATTTTTATGCATTTTTTTATTGAAACACCTTGTTCTCCCAGTTTAAATCAGACCAAATATCTGGGATACAACATCTGTTGTGGATAATGCTGGTTCAGAACAAAAAGCAAATGGTTTATGTAAAAATGAATATTAGAGCAAATAACTGTCAGACAGCAAACAGGATGGGAGAGGAGAAATGGCATGGCAAACTAAATACGGGCAACAGTACGAAACAGAACAGAGGTTATGAAAATAAAAAAAAGAAATATTGGATCTGCACACTTGAAAACACAAGTAAGCAGATAAACATGTGCTCACCTGCAAACATGCTCACATACAGGAACAGCCGCGCCCACGCACTCACTCTCTCACTTTCTTCCTCTCTACAACAAACACACAACCTACAGATAAAATGTGGTGATTAAATTGATTGAAACCCTGTGAAAATCAAAAGGTAGTTTACATCCACATCTTGTGTCCAAAAGGGCAGGAAATAAAATTAGAAAATATAAAAAAAAAGAGATAAGCTTAGATGATTAATGAAAAGCAAGCCCATCTTCACTGATCTAACCCAACCTAAAGATTACAGGTTTCCATTTCTCTGTCGTTCTCCAAACCCTAATCCCACTTAACTCCCATCTCTATTATTCCCTCTCACCCTTCATCACCTTCATACTCCCTCCTTCTCCTCCACACTGCTCTGTTTGGGTTACCGGGCAGCGATGGAGAGAAGAGAAGGTGAATATTGGTTAACATTTCTAAAAAGCACCATGTCCTATGTGGATTACAGTTATAAAGCTGTGGGGGGTTGAGGACTTTTGTTGTGTGCTGAGGTTGAAGGTGGCAAATCTATATTTTAGAATATCTGTAAACATTTTGGGTTAGTCTTGTACACTGAAGCGTGTGAAGACACGGGGTCGAGGGGGAACATTTGAGGTGGGGGTCAGCATAGCTTAGGGATCTGTCCCTCACCCCTCCTTTCAGAGAAAAGGGACTGGGCCGGTTTATAGGGATTGCGTTTTGAGCTCGATCGGTTCCCCTCGAGTGTCCTGCTGAGCCTCACTCTCCGGGGGTCGACTTCCCTTCAGTGTGGCCAGGCGCTCGGAGAGACCTCTCATACGTGGGAACAACATAAAATCATACAGGATGGCTCCCATGGCACCCCCAATCATAGGCCCAACCCAGTAAACCTGCAGGTAATACAATTTGAATTGTCAACAGAAACTCTGGCCAGTCATTCTTCAATGGAGCAAAACTAAAAGTTGAGCTCTTACCCAATGGTTGATAAAGTTTCTGAAGAGCACCGCAGGGGCAAAGGACCTAGCAGGGTTCATTCCAGCACCGGTGTAGTACATCTAAAACACAAACATGAATGTGTTAAAGTACATATGTGCCCATAACTTTGTAGTGATTGAACAGTTTTTTCCACACTTCTCACCCCCATGAGATGCCCAACAGTGACAGAGAAACCAATAGAGAGAGCTGCTGATCCCAGGCGACCGTTTCTCCTCTCATCTGTCACTGCGAAGATGCAGACAACGAGCTGAAGGGTAAGAAAGACCTCCACTGTCGTGGCCATCCCCAGGCTCATGCCAGGCTGCAGCTGGAAGCACAAAAATGAAAGGGGCATGAAATCTGTGAAGCCTGAAAACAAGCTGATAACACATAGGATACAGTCATCAACCTTACAACCCTCATTCTCCAACACTAAACCTCTATATTTACCATGTTCATTGCCATGTTGCCTCTCATGTTGCCGGGTGTGACCCCATACAGGACTGCAGCCCCAGCCACGGCCCCCAGGCACTGAGCGAAGATATAAAAAAATGCACGGAAAAGGGACATCTGTGACCCGACAAGGTAGGCGAAGGTAACTGCAGGGTTGATGTGGCCGCCACTGATGTGGCCAATGGACTGGATGAGGGTGGCGGCCGCCAGACCAAAGCATAGGGCCACGTGAAGGACGTGATGAGGCCCGGTGGTCCAACGCAGGGCAGCACCCATGCCAAAAAATACAAAGAACATAGTCCCGAAGAACTCTGCAAAGACTGCCCGCCAAAAATTCATGGACCGGAACTCCCACATGGTGGATGCTTGAGGAGGGGTGTTGGTGATTCAGAGAAAAAGTCACAAGTTTACCTTTTCAGTCCTTCATAAAATGGTGGAAACAACAAAAAAAGTCTTCTTTTGGATACCAGCTGACTAAAACAGCCACTTGAGATGTGAGTCTGGAGTCCGATGATCTTTACCAAACTGTGATCTGGGCTGGTAAAGTCAACTCAGCTGCTTGCCACCTCTCTCCACCTGTCGCAAAGACATAGGTGTGAGATAATAAAGCAATTCTGAGATGCTTTGATTCTTCAAAAGTAGGTGGGCATCAATGCTAAATGGGGGATTCTATATCACAGATGGGGATAGACGGATTCTCCAATGGACCTTTTAGCCTCTGTGACGGAGGGAAGGGGGCCAGACGGGCGCTTTATAAAACCCCCTCTTTGGGGCCCTCTGGTGACGCAGTAATCCCTTCGTTAGTCCGAGGGGTGGGGAGGGGTGGGGTACTGCAGTGCTCGACATCCTGATTCAAACGTACCTAACCCCTTTGTTGCCTGTCTCCCTCCACCTCCCACCAGAAGCACTAAAGTGAGAAAAAAAGAGAGTAAAAATATGTTAGAAAAACAGACAGAGATTCTTAATCAGAAATATAATCTACAAGGTTATATGTGTATATATATATATATATATATATATATATATATATATATATATATATATTTTACAGAGGACGAGATTTGCTTTAAGGCACTTGTCATTGGTTGACATATCATAAGTGTCATGAAGTGTAGATATAAATCTTGATGGAAAACCTCCCACTTGAGTACAAAGCGGCACACATGCAAGTGCACGCACACATACGTGGAGATAGCACATTTGGGGCCCCAAACAGAAGCGCCCAAAGCTAACAGCACTAACACTGGAAATGCCTGACCCTGTGAAACTATTG